TGTGTGGGTTCCTGCAGCAGACTCCGAGCGATGACATCATCCCTCCCCCCCCCTCCCCTCCTCCACCGGCTCTCCCGGGGAAAGGGATGAAGATGCTCTGTATTGAGCTGCAGCCAATCAATGCGTGTTATCCATCCGGGGACTCCTGCACAGGGGAGGGAAGAGGCAGCCGCTGCTGGAGGCTAACGATTCGTGCTCAACGAACATACAGGACACACGGACGAGGCCGATAGGACGAGGTGACGCCACCACAAGAGGTGACGTCCAAACTACAGCAAGCCGTGGCAACCAGACTTCACCATAGATCAGTGACCGAATGGTGACAAATGACACCCGACTGCTGTGGAAGGGGGGGGGGGGGGGGGGGTCACGGGACACTATACCCCACACTGATCACTCACACACACTCCAATCAGATTGCCGGATGAGGACTGCGGTGGCGGGCTTCTCAACCAGATGTATTCTGTTTCCAATCGCATGAAATATTAAATCAGACGACAAGAACTTTTTTTTTGGTAATGTCTCCAATTTACAGTTGTCCTACAGCGCTGTCATTTTAAAGTAAACAGGTTTTTAAAAAAATTAAAAGATTAAAAAAAAAAAAATTCAATTCGAACGATGGCCTGTCACGTGTCTTGCAGCACCATAGGGGAGAAAACGAATATCGCCGGCGAAAATTAAAGGACCATTTATGTGGCGCATTAATGCACAAGTGTTAACACGCAATAAAGTGTTACTAAACCCCGGACCCCGCATTCACTATATCCGCTCTCCCCGGACCCCCCGGACATTCACTATATCCGCTCTCCCCGGACCCCGCATTCACTATATCCGCTCTCCCCGGACCCCGCATTCACTATATCCGCTCTCCCCGGACCCCGCATTCACTATATCCGCTCTCCGCTCTCCCCGGACCCCGCATTCACTATATCCGCTCTCCCCGGACCCCGCATTCACTATATCCGCTCTCCCCGGACCCCGCATTCACTATATCCGCTCTCCCCGGACCCCGCATTCACTATATCCGCTCTCCCCGGACCCCGCTTTCACTATATCCGCTCTCCCCGGACCCCGGACCCCGCTTTCACTATATCCGCTCTCCCCGGACCCCGCTTTCACTATATCCGCTCTCCCCGGACCCCGCTTTCACTATATCCGCTCTCCCCGGACCCCGCTTTCACTATATCCGCCGCTCCCTCCCCGGACCCCGCTTTCACTATATCCGCTCTCCCCGGACCCCGCTTTCACTATATCCGCTCTCCTTGGACCCCGCATTCACTATATCCGCTCTCCCCGGACCCTGCATTCACTATATCCGCTCTCCCCGGACCCTGCATTCACTATATCCCGCTCTCCCAGGACGCCGCATTCACTATATCCGCTCTCCCTGGACCCTGCATTCACTATATCCGCTCTCCCACAGTACACAGAACATGGAAATGCAATTATTTTAGTAAATATAAACTGCTAAAGACCTTTTCTCATCAGCAGTATATAGTAGTCTTGTGCCTTCTATCAGTGTCCAGCAGAGTACTGGTTAAAGCTTGTGGGAAAAGTTTCATTCTCCCCGATTGTCCTATGAGGCTGCAGGACCCCTGACCCTCTGTCTAGACAGTGCTGACTGGCCCTATGCTGATCACATGCACTCTCCCAAGAAAAAAAAAAAACAAACTCTAGCAATGCACACTAAACTGAGCATGCGCAGCTTGCCCCCAAGGCTCTGTTCTACAAGCAGATGGATTGGGGAAAGTATAAGAAGGAGGATCAGAGAAGACAGGATCAAACAGCCTTTTTACACAATGCAGAGGATTAACCCCTTAGGTTCCACAGTGAGTATAACAAGCATGCTTTACTGCATCTACAGACTGATTGTACTGTTGTGGGATTAGTAACACTTTAAATTGCATATTGCATTAAGGCAGACCAATAAAAAAAAAAAAAAAAAAAAGGAGCAGATGTCAACACACCAGCACACTCCAAAGGTCTGTCGGCATGCCATTCAAAAAGTGTGGCACCATGTTCCACCTGCCCCTCCCTCTTAGATTGTAAGCTCCCAGGATCAGGGCCCTCTTAACCCTCTTGTATTGAACTGTATTGTTGCTGTATTGTCTCCCGTTATATTGTAAAGCGCTGAGCAAACTGTTGGCTCCATATAAATCCTGTATAATAATAAATATATAAAATCCTGTATAAATAATAAAAAAATAATAATAAATAACGTGTTGCGCATTTTCATTTTGCACAGATATAAATCAGCCCCAGTCTAAAGAGAAGAACACTGACAAGGCATGCACCCGTTACATCTATCAGCACCCCTAGGACTACAAGTCCCAGCATGCCCTGCAAGGTCTGTCCCCCTCAGCTGAACTTTACAAAAGCAGTATTAATATATTATGAAGGCCGGCTGGCGGGGTGCAGGACAATCCTGGTACAACCTCCAGGTCCAGAACAAGAACTCTGTGTCATTTCATCAACCAGCGAAAAGGCCTCGTTCACCTGGGCGTACTCAAGCGTCCATCCATGTGAAGGCCGTGTGTTAACCACACAAAGGTGTCCCCATGCATTCACATGTAGGCAGTCCCATTCGGGGCAACTAGGAGGTATTGGCTGCACAGGCACAAAAAATTAGAGAAACTGCCGCTGGAGAGAAAGGGAAGACTTAAAAGTCCAAAATGGTATTAGAAGGGAGTAGTCCGTATTGTACAGTTCAGTGGTATAGTGCAATCAGCAACATCAGGAGGCAGCAGCCTAAGGGCTCCATGTACACTGCAGCTGATAATCTCACGTATAGGAGCTATTCTTCGTTTTTTTTTTTTTTTTCAGCAGCCCCTGAACTCTCCCTAATGTTTTCCTATGTGTCCATGTACACACCTTCGTTTATAGGCATTTGAGTTTACAGTCTTTTTTTTTTTTGAACGCACCAAACTTGCGTTCAGTAGTCGATTTTATCAGCGTTTCAAACGCAAAACGCTTCTAAACGCGGCAAATCGCGTTTATAAGCGTTTGAAATTTTTTTTTAACTCTTCCAGTTCCCGATGCTGTCCAGAGCCTTTTTTCATCATGAAAAATGCATGCAAAGTGTTTTCAAGGTACTCAAATAGACAAAACACTGAACACAGGATGTTCCTACCAAGCTTGTCACACATTGTAATGACCAATTCACACCTCAGACCTCTCCCACCCTTGGAAACAAAAGATATGTTAATGACCATTCACACCTCAAATTCCTCTTGAAGACCCCCTGCCAGGTGGCCTTAATGACTCCCCTCCACCAGACACCTTTCCCTCCCTTGGAAACAAAAGAAATGTTAACGAGCAACTCACACCTAAGCAAATCTCAACACATACTGCTGTCTCTGCTTCTACTCTCTGTATTTCTCTGAAACAGTCTGAAATAGTTAATTTGCCACTTTTCAGTGCATTCTGGGCATTTGGAAGGTCTCCTGAGGTTATCTTTAAAAAAACGCTTCTAACCGCGCATAAAACGCATTATGCAAACGCGGCTAAACAGACTTTTTTTTTACCTACATTTTCCAGCAGTCAGTTTCCATCGTTCAGAAGTGTCCCGTGTACATGGGGCCTTAGAGTAAAGCTGGACACTGTACATTGAGAATAAAAGGAGAGAGGGGCGCCAGACTAAGTGCAGTATTAAAAGGTTGTTTAATTGAGCAAGATAACTGAGGTAACTCACTAGATGAGAAAAAGGCATGTGTTTCAAGATGGGTGTCATCCTTATTGAAGACCTGGAGGCTGATGGAGAGGGTGGATGAGCATCTAGGGGCCGAGGCTGCTGGAGGAGCCAGGTCACCCGATTCCATGCTGTTTGCGTCCAGAGTCGAAGCATCGGCCTGACGAAGAAGCTGATGCTTCGAAACGCATTACCGCCCCCTTTTTGTGGCACTACGCTCACATGGTGACGTCACATCCACCCGGCAGCCATCTGCATTCCAGCTTGGTTCCATCACAGCCGCTGGACATGAACAGCGTGGAATTGGGTGACCTGGCTCCCTCAGCAGCCTTGGCCCCTAGATACTTATCCATCAGCCTCTGGGTCTTCAATAAGGATGACGCCCATCCTGAGACACGTGCCTTTTTCTACTGTCATCTAGTGAGTTACCCAAGTTATCTTGCTCAATTAAACAACCTTTTAATACTGCACTTAGTCTGGCGCCCTTTTCTGCTTGCCAGGCACAGCCAATTGACATCCCAATTTGACATCCATGTGGGTCCAGGTCCCTAGGCTCCGGAAGTGTGCGATCAGGGCCCTGCACCTGCACAGCTGTCAATTAGAGAGCAGCAGCTGCGTCTGTGCAACTGCCGAGTCCCAAATGACGTGAATATGACTGCATGCATGTAGATACACGGAACACCTGTGCATCTCACGTGGGCAACACACGGCCCTAGCACGGGTATGCACTTCAGTCTGCCTATGTGAATGACGCCTTAGGCCCCATTCAGATACTGCGTTGCGCTTGTGACTCAGAGCGCGGTGTACGCGAATGTCACGCATAGGGCAGCCCATTCACTTCAATAGGCTGCTCCGTGCACATTTGTCGTCCAAAAGAAGTTTCTGCTCCTTTTGTAGGCATCAAGCTTTTGACAACTTTCAAACCCACGTTTGGCAGCGCAATTAAGTCATGTGACAATCGCGGCAGAAATGCACCGTATTTGGAGTGCCATTAAGAATACAAAATTCAGATACTGCCTTGTGCTTGTGACTCTTCAGAGCACAATTTACACGCATTTCCGCATGTCGCTCATAGGGCAGGCCATTCACTTCATTGGGCTACCCCTTGTACGTTTGTCATCCAAAAGAAGTTTCTGCTCCTTTTTTAGGCATCACGCTTAGGACGAATTTCAAACGCACGTTTTTGCAGCAAATTCAGTCATGTGACAATCGCAGCAGAAACGCCCGGTATTTGGAGTGCCGTTAACCCCTTCACGCCGGCGCCTCCCGGCCCTTTAAGAGTTTCAGAAGCCGGGTGGCGGGGTTTTAGGATCATGTGACCGCCGTGACACGCCGTCACGATTGGGAAAGGTCCTGATCGAAAGAGGAGATCAGGACCAGGGGCGGACTGACAACTCATGGGGCGCCCGGGCAATAGGGGATCATGGGGCCCCTGTGTCCTTGCCCAAACTCAAAAAAGCCTATGAAAAAGGTACCAGGGGCATCTCATGGGCCCCCTACTGACCCCAGGCCTTCTGGCAGTGCCCGAGTTTCCAAATGGTCAGTCCGCCCCTGATCAGGACCTTTCCATAGGTACCGGACATGTGTGCTGGGAGCGTGAAGGGTGTGCGCTCTTGGCACATATGTTCTTTTTTAATAGAACACAAATGTGCGGTTGCTCGGCGTCTAGGCCCAGATGCCGGGGGAGCCGCACATTAGCGTTCGGCCGGCGTGAAGAGGTTAAGAATACAGAATTCAGATACTGCCTTGCACTTGTAACTCAGAGCACAATTTACGCGCATTTTTCGAATGTCGCGCATAGGGCAGCCCATTCAGTTCACTGGGCTGCCCGTGTATGTTTGTCATCCAAAAGAATTTTCTGCTCCTTTTTTAGGCAGCAAACTTAGAACGCCTTTCAAATGCACGTTTTTCAGCGCAATTCAGTCTTGTGACAATCGCGGCAGAATTGCACCGTATTTGGAGTGCCATTAAGAATGATGACACCCAAAGCGCAAGTCTCGCCACAATTTGGAATCGCCTAACGTGAACGGGGCCTAATGCCTGCCATAGACGGGTCAAAAAATTGGCCGATTCTTCGGCAGAAAAAAAAAAAAAAAAACAGCCAATTTAAGCACTGTTAGTGGGTTAATTGGTCGGCCGTTTTTTTTTCGTGGTTTTTGCACATTTTTTTTTTTTTTTTAATCGGCATGTTGGAAAATTCACGGCCGATTTTGACGGGCAATGATGGGCAAATCGGCCGATCGTTTTACCAATAAAAAAAAATCTGCGCATGAACCATGACCTGCAAGACGAAAAAGAAGAATACGAAGAAGAATACAAAGAAGATGAAGAAGGAAAAAGAAGAATAAGAATTCCAGTCCGCTATTATATTTTACATGAAAGTCTTGCAGTTGCAACAATGTATCCATTTGTATCCGAATAAAAACATTGTATCCGTATTGGATACATTTGTTGCAACCACAACACTTTTCATACAAAATATAAAAGCGGACTGGAATTCTTAGAGACAGAAGCAATTATGGGGTTAAATGCTGGCCATAGACGGGCCGAAAATCGGCTGATTTATTTTTACCGTTGGTGGAAACGTCAGCCGATCAAACAACCGTTTTTTTTTTTTTTTTTTTTTTTTTTTAAACCGCCAGTTTTCGACCCGTCTATGGCCTGCATAAGGGTAATAGATATAATAAGAAATGCATCTTAATGAGGTGTAATGTGTTTTACATTGTTTGTATAATGATTAAAGAAATAAAGATTTAAATAATAATACTAAAAAAAAAAATAAAAATATTATAACGACTTTCAAACGCACGTTTTTCAGCGCAATTCAGTCATGTGACAATTGCGGCAGAATTGCACTGTATTTGAAGTGCCATTAAGAATGATGGCACCCAAACGCACAATTTGGAATCGCCTAATGTGAACGGTGCCTAAGGCAGCACATAGGAATGAAAACACAGGAAAGTAAACCGATAAAAACAAACAGGATAAAGAAACAAAAAATGAAACCTGAGATTAGAAATGAAAAATAAAAGCAAGGAAACATCACGAATAAAAAACAAAGATAAAAAAAAAAAAAGGTCCATAGAAGAAATAAAAAAACAAATATACGTGTTGAAACGATAGAAAGTACAGGCGAATGGCAGCAAATAACTAGTAATATTAATAATCGTAGTAAGTGGCGGTGGGAGGGATGGCGTTCTGGAAAGGAAAGGGTGCTTCCCGCCGCCTGGCTCCCACCACATTCCAGCCCTGCATACAGCTTTTCTGAATCAGCCCCTGCATTGTTATAGGATTTAAATACAATGGTGGTATTCTCTGCCATGGACAAAAGGCGGCCTGGTGGGAGGCACACCCCTCCCCCTAACACTTCTCTTGCATTGATCCTACCTAATTCTGTTCTGCATGGTAGATTCCAGTTGCTCGGAGGACATCAGTTGCTGCAGTTTGGTGCGTTCCAGGTGTTCCATGTAATTATGGATCATCTGTTGAAAGATAAAAAGACAGTTGTTTATTATTTATGGTAATTTTCCTCCAAAGTGCACAAGAATTTCAAGGGTTCATCCGCCCAAAAGTGGAATTTCAGTTATAGGTGACGTTTGTGAGGCTGTATGATTTTTGCTGACTCCAATGGCAAGATTTCCTCCACCGCTGATCCTGGCTGTGTTCCCACCCACCTTGGGTTCTTCTAATTTCTACCTTTACGTATCCATAATATAAAATATATTCAGCAGGGATGGTGGGATCCCCTCATAATGGGCGCAGTAGTTCTGCACATCTAGGAACTATGCACAGGGATGGTGGGAACCCCTCATAATGGGCGCAGCTGGTGTACAGACCTGGGAAATCAGCACAGGGATGGTGGGAACCCCTCATATTGGGCACAGCAGGTCTGCAGACCTGGTAACTCAGCAGAGGGATGGTGGGAACCCCTCATAATGGGCACAACAAGTCTGCAGAGCTGGGAACTCAGCACAGGGATAGTGCAAACCCCTCATAATGGGCACAGCAGGTCTGCAGACCTGGGAAATCAGCACAGGGAAGGTGGGAACCCCTCATAATGGGCACAGCAGGTGTACAGACCTGGGAAATCAGCACAGGGATGGTGGGAACCCCTCATATTGGGCACAGCAGGTCTGCAGACCTGGTAACTCAGCAGAGGGATGGTGGGAACCCCTCATAATGGGCACAACAAATCTGGAGATGGAAACTCAGCACAGGGATGGTAGGAACCTCTCAATGTGCACAGCTGGTGTACAAACCCAGGAACTCAGCACAGGGATGGTGCAAACCACTCATAATGGGCACAGCAGGTGTACAGACCTGGGAAATCAGCACAGGGATGGTGGGAACCCCTCATAATGGGCACAGCTGGTGTACAGACCTGGGACAAACAAGGATGGTGGGAACCCAGGTATTCAGCACAAGGATGGTGGGAACCCCTCATAATGGGCACAGCAGGTCTGCAGACCTGGGAACTCAGCACAGAGATGGTGCACACCCCTCATAATGGGCACAGCTGGTGTACAGACCTGGGAAATCAGCACAGGGAAGGTGGGAACCCCTCATAATGGGCACAACAGATTTGCAGACCTGGGAACTCCACACAGGGATGGTGGGAACCTCTCATAATGTGCACTGCTGGTGTAAGAATTTGGGAACTCAGCACAGGGATAGTGGGAACCCCTCATAATGGGAACAGCATGCATGAAAATCTGTCTTGTGGTTTAGGGACTGATGTGAATGTACAATATATATATATGTAAAGTGCTGCGTAAATTGATGGCACTATAGAAGTACCTGAAATAAACTCAGCACAGGGATGGTGGAAACCCCTCATAATGGGCACAGCAGGAATGCTCTTAGATTGTAAGCTCCCAGGATCAGGGCCCTCCTATCCCTCTTGTATTGAACTGTATTGTTGCTGTATTGTCTCCCGTTATATTGTAAAGCGCTGAGCAAACTGTTAGCACTATATAAATCCTGTATAATAAATAATAATATATAAATCCTGTATAATAATAATATATATAATAATAATAATATATAATCCTGTATAATAATAATAATAATATATAAATCCTGTATAATAATAAATAATAATATATAACTATATATAAATCCTGTAATAATAATAATAATATAATAAAATAATATATAAATCCTATAATAATAATATATATAAATCCTGTATAAATAATATCCTGTATAATATATAAATCCTGTATTATAATAATATATAAATCCTGTATAATAATAATAATATATAAATCCTGTATAATAATAATAATATAAATCCTGTATAATATAATAATAATCCTGTATATATAAATCCTGTATAATAATAATATATAAAATCCTGTATAATAATAATATCTAAAAATCCTGTATAATAATATATAACTCCTGTATAATAATAATAATAATATAAAAAATCTGTATTATAATAATAATATATAACTCCTGTATAATAATAATAAATATATAAATATCCTGTATAATAATAATATATAAATCCTGTATTAATAATATATAAATATATAAATCCTGTATAATAATAATAATAATAATATATATTATAATAATCCCTGTATAATAATAATATATAACTCCTGTATATATATATATTATAATATCCTGTATGTATATATATATATATATATATATATTTATTTTGAAATGAATGGACTTCCCTATGCGTGTAGCATTAAAACACATGAAAAAGTGAGTTTAGGGAACACTAGGCGTGAATCTACCCTTTTCTGGGTGACAATGTCTCATCATATTGTTGGCACACAGTTTTGAGGCTTCACATATCTGTATTTATTAACACTATCTGATAATTTGTACAAAAAAAAAGGAATATAATTGTGTTTATGTACAATAAAATAATTTTAGTGTATTCTTTCCTGAAAATCTAGATTTGATAAACAGCTGCGTAAATATCATGTGACATAAAAATTACAACTTCTGTCTTTTTACTCTACAAGTCCTCTGCATGCAGAAAATATTTAATGTTCTTGGGGAGGGGGGGGGGGGTTCAATGATTTTATAGCAAATAAATTGAGATTTTAACCTGCAAAAAAATGAAAAAAAAAAAAAAAAAAAAAAGAAACCTCTATAGAGGGGAAATGATTAATTACTTGTAAGGTTTTACATTAAAAGGGTCAGGAAGCAAACATGTTCCACCACCCCCAGCCCCAAAAAAAAGTATGTAATGCCGGGTTCCTGTGCTACTGGCATTATATTTCCTCTGTTGCTCTGTGTGTATGATATACTATAAGCACATGACGCTGGAATCATAGAATTTGGCATTCCCAGCACCCCTTAAGCTGAGAACATCTTTGATGCCAGAATTGTTGAATATGACATCCTCAGCACTCCTTCAGATGAGAACAGCCCTTAGTACCAGAATCCTAGATTATGGCATCCCTGGCACGCCTTCGGATGAGAACAGTCCTTAGTACCCAAATCATAGATTATGGCATCCCTGGCATACCTTCAGATGAGAACAGTCCTTAGTACCAGAATCATAGATTATGGCATCCCTGGCATACCTTCAGATGAAAACAGTCCTTAGTACCAGAATTATAGATTATAGCATCCCTGGCAAACCTTCGGATGAGAACAGCCCTTAGTACCAGAAACAGATTATGGCATCCCTGGCAAACCTTCAGATGAGAACAGCCCTTAGTACTCGAATCATAGATTATGACATCCCTGGCACGCCTTCGGATGAGAAAAAGCCCTTAGTACCAGAATCCTAGATTATGGCATCCCTGGCACGCCTTCGGATGAGAACAGTCCTTAGTACCCAAATCATAGATTATGGCATCCCTGGCATACCTTCAGATGAGAACAGTCCTTAGTACCAGAATCATAGATTATGGCATCCCTGGCAAACCTTCGGATGAGAACAGCCCTTAGTACCAGAAACAGATTATGGCATCCCTGGCAAACCTTCAGATGAGAACAGCCCTTCGTACTCGAATCATAGATTATGGCATCCCTGGCACACCTTCGGATGAGAACAGCCCTTAGTACCAGAATCATAGGTTATGGGATCCCTGGCATACCTTCGGATGAGAACAGCCCTTAATACCAGAATCATAGATTATGGCATCCCTGGCATACCTTCGGATGAGAACAGCCTTTAGTACCAGAATCATAGATTATGGCATCCCTGGCACATCTTCGGATGAGAGCAGCCCTTAGTACCAGAATCATAGGTTATGGGATCCCTGGCATACCTTCGGATGAGAACAGCCCTTAATACCAGAATCATAGATTATGGCATCCCTGGCACACCTTCGGATGGGAACAGCCCTTAATACCAGAATCATAGATTATGGTATCCCTGGGAAACCTTCAAATGAGAACAGTGCTTATTACTAAATTAGTGTATAATGGTATCCCCAGCACCGCTTAAGATCAGCCCTGAGTGCCAACAGCTCTTCGTGAGCAAACGCAGAACCCGTCTACAGCAGCTTGATGAATTGATATTTCCAAGGAACATGAGAACAAAATACCAATGCTGACCTTTATGAGGAGGACAGAGATGCGATGCTTCATTACACCTGTGTATTCTACGCCAGTGACAAATATGGATTTGAACCTTAACTCCAGGATCATCCAACCTATCCGCAGTATGATATACCTTGAAACTGTGACCACAACTGCATTCCTGATTTTTTTCTTTTTTTTTGTTTCACAAAAGATGTACCGTTTTTTTCCCTCCATAAGACGCACTCCCCCCCCCCCCCCCCAAAATGGGGGAAAATATCTGTGCGTCTTATGGAGCAAATATGAAGCAGTTGGCCCGGTATTCCTGCCGCGGTGTTAGAATACCGGGCCGTCCGCTCGGCTCTTCTGTGCAGCAGAACCTGCTAATCGGCCCTACCTGTTCCTCGGTCCAGCGGTGTCCTCACCGTCTTCTCTCCCAGCGCCGGCATCTTTAGTGTGGGCACCCGGCTGTGGTAGCTTGCGGCTTCACAGCCGGGTGCCCACAGCACATGCACGAGAAGCGCTGCGCTTTGTGAATGGTCGGCACTCTTCTGGGACCTGTCACGTGTCCCAGAAGACGGGGAGGGAGGACAACTCCGTGTAAGTGGAAGCGGGTACCTGTTAAATTCGGGTACCCGCGGCCCCCCCCCCCCCTTCCTCCACTCCCCAAAAGTCTGCAGTCTCCGGCCATCTCCCGTACCGTGTCCGCAGTCTCTCCGGCCATCTCCCGTACCGTGTCCGCAGACTCCGGCCATCTCCCGTACCGGGTCCGCAGACTCCGGCCATCTCCCGTACCGGGTCCGCAGTCTCCGGCCATCTCCCGTACCGGGTCCGCAGACTCCGGCCATCTCCCGTACCGGGTCCGCAGACTCCGGCCATCTCCCGTACCGGGTCCGCAGTCTCCGGCCATCTCCCGTACCGGGTCCGCAGTCTCCGGCCATCTCCCGTACCGGGTCCGCAGTCTCCGGCCATCTCCCGTACCGGGTCCGCAGTCTCTCCGGCCATCTCCCGTACCGGGTCCGCAGTCCGCAGTCTCCGGCCATCTCCCGTACCGGTCCGCAGTCTCCGGCCATCTCCCGTACCGGTCCGCAGTCTCCGGCCATCTCCTGTACTATGTCCACAGTCTCTGGTCATTTCCTGTACTATTTCTGCAGCCCATTGGTTCAGAATATATTTTTTTTTTTTTTCCTCCTCTAAAACCTAGGTGCGTCTTATCAAGCGAAAAATACGGTATTAGGTTTTTCCAAGACCTTAGAAAGGAAACACGAACTGGAAACAATACTGCGATATAATCGTACAAATGCAAAAGAGTAAGGCATGCATTGCATAAAACACAGTACACGAGCCAAGAACATCAGCTACGGTGAAACATGCAGAAAAGCCACATAGCTAGGGTGAGATCCATGTACAGGTCTAGTGCAATGCATCATACAAAAAAAGGAATGCCCTTCGCTAACTGTAAAAAGTACCTTGCTGAATGGAGGAAAAAAAAAAAGGGGGAAGGTCCCCCAGCTCTTGCAACCACCAAGGCAAAAGGGGTGGGATGGGGTAGAGAGGGATAAGTGTGCTCATCGCCATTGATAGGACCATAGGAACCAATTTTTAAAAACAATTTTGGCTCTACAGGTGTACCTCGGTTTACGAACGCCTCGGTTAATGTAATTTTCGGTTTATGAATGAAAATCCATTGAAAATAATGCATCAGTTTCCGAATTTAACAAATTTTTTTTGCAATACGAAGCACATGTTGGTGCCAATTTTTAAATGCAATTGCTGGCTTTTTTTCTTCTTCGCTATAGCTCACAAAATTAGCTGTCACTTTCCCCGGAGCTAAAGGAAACGGTTTCTTTTAAAAAACTAAAAGGAAACATTGTTTCTTTTAACTCAGGAAAATAAACTAAATGGAAACTCTCATTCTTTTAGCTGGGGGGGGAGTGACAGCTGATTACATTTAAAAACCGGCACTGACCTGTAGTGACAGCGACTTTTTCTTTTTACTTTTTTCTGACCTCCAGAACGGATTAATTGGTTTTCAATGCATTCCTATGGGAAACCGCGTTTCGGTTTACACATTTCTCACAATACGAAACAACCTTGAGAACGCATTACATTCGTAAACCGAGGTACACCTGTATTCTGGATATATCTTACTGTATCCCCTTGACGTCACTCGCTCTCCCTGTGAATCTGGCAGAACTTCAAATGACCTACGCACGCACGCAATTTACTAAGACTACATGT